TCGAGATAGTGTAACAAGTAGAAGTGTGGCCTAATTATCTACATGTTATGTCCCACTTCTACATGTTACAGTATCTCGATATAGTGTACTATTTCTCTAATCTTCAGTTTCAGAGTTTTATACTACCTCGGAACTTTAAGTTAATGTATGAAATTTTTTTATTGTAAGTTATATACCTGAATTACATAATTTCAATCAACCTACATTAAAGTTTACAAGGAATTACATTTTCTTGAATCCACCAATGTTTCTTCACGTAGTGAACTTCTCATCAGTGGTCATAAAAAATGGAGCGGGATGCCTCCTTTGGCTTACATAAGCCACCCCACCCCCCAATTGTCTTAAAAGTGGGACACTATGATTCTTAAAATCATACACATAGTTTGTCTCTAAAAGCCTGTACAATTAAGACAATATATTCTCGAAGGCTTTTGTTCTTAATGAGAGGTAAGTGTTTCATTATTAACATGGAATACTTTTTTTTTATTATTCATGGCAGCCTAAATCATAAAAAGAGTGAAATTACATTATCAGGAAATTCTGGGATGACAACTCTAAAGCATATGTTCCTTGAATTAAAAATATCTTGAAGTTAATAGTATCAATACGCACTTGTGTATTTATGATATGTTTGCATTATTTGCACCCTTTTTTTATATGGAAATTTTATCCATTAAATAATAGGAGTTTGAGTAGTTTTTAAAATCTTGACAAAACTTTTATTCTTCTTGGTGTTACCTAACTTTTGATATGTTCTGATTCCATTCCTGTGAATGTTGTTCTTTCGATCATATATTTGTTTACTTAGTATACTGATAAACATTATGAAATATGTGATGTAAAAGTAAAAATGCACTTTCTTTCTATAAAAATAATATTACCATCTTGAGATACAAAATATTATATATATTATCATACATCAGGTTGAAATACATCTACTACAGATAATATAAAATTCAAAAAATGCCCTTGTCTTATTCAAAATGTTGTATGCTTTCAAGTGATCCATTACATCCATGAAACAAGATCATTTGCTTACCCTTCTGGCAGATAGCAATCCCATAATCCATAGCAAAACTCAGAAGTGATGAAATTATACCAAGCAGTGCTAAGAAGACCCAATCTTCTCCTAGCCTGGCAAAAGTGTGTTTCCAAAAGATGGACATCCAACCTTCAAATGAAGTCACATAAAGATACTATTTATGTAAATCTAACTGCAAAACCCACTTTTCATACAAAAAAAAAAGTCATTTTCAGAAACAACAACTTTTTAACTATTTTATTGGCTCATTGTTTTAGGTATAAATAAATCTTCTTCAAGAATTCAGTAAATCTCCTGAAGATAATTTATAGCAAAATCATGAACCAATAAAAATAATTCAAAATTTATCTGGAGTTACAGGTTACTCTTTTAAGAAAGATAAAGCACATTGTACACCCCAGCCAGCATTAAATATCTTTATAAACTTTTGATTAACTAAAACAAAAAATAAATTTTGGCATCTTTCAAGCACAAAGCATTTTGAATGCCTCGATGAGCTCCATGAATTTGGAGGTTACTAAAATTGTTAATGCAAATCTGATTATTCTTTAAGTTAGTTCAAATTAATAAAAGTGAATAATAAACTATTTTTCAGAAAATGTCATCTCTTATTAATATTAAAAAAGTTATATGTCCAAGACACGTAATCGACAATGAATATGAGCATAACTGTGAACAAGATGCTATTGGAATACCCCTATTCTACATTCTTCTAATTCTTGAATCCCAAAGGAACCAGATAAAGAATACAGTATTATCAAATATAATAGGCCTAATACTAATGTCTAATGACAAGTATGATTAATTGTAATCATGTTTCATCAACTTGAAAAACGTGTTTACACCATAACAATTGTTAATGAAATAGTTTGCTTGAAATATGAATTAGCTAATTTGTATTGGATTCTGGGCCTTTTTGATAGAAATAACATCCACGATCATATCCTGACCACTACTACAGCCCTCCTCAACTAATCTTTACATTTGTACATCACCTTAATTCAATCTTACACATACACGATCTGTACATTATAACATAAGCTTCACAAAAATTAAATAAGTTTGGTAAAGTGACCTGTTGAGTAAGGATTAAAGGGGCAACTTTAACATGTACTTAGAAAAATACATTGTATGTGTACTAAATACATAATTATGGTTTTAGCACATAGCTACTTCACTTTGACATGTTCTATTATTTTAGTAATTATGTATAAAAACATACTGAATTGATATATAGGTGTTCACAGTTTTTTTAACAACATACAATATTTTTATATCTAACAAAGAAACAATTTAGAATCCTTAGGTTTCAATGAAAACATTATTATTGTGTTTTGTTTAAATAGATATATTTTTAAGCTAAATATAGTTATTATTAACTGATGACAAATTAATTCTACAAATGTGAATAATAGATGCTAGTTCAATGTAGAGGATGTGTACAAATTATGACTTTGTTTGAGGATGTCTTAATATGACAATGTTGTTTGGGGGAATAGCATACATCACAGTTTTCACATACAATATGTAGGAACAAACATGACAATGTTGTTTGGGGGAATAGGCATACATCACAGTTTTCACATACAATATGCAGGAACAAACCTCTGCATAAGTAAAATGGCTAATGAAAATGAGGAAGCTAACTGAGTGTTACTTATTTAAATTCTGAGAGTATGGTGAACATTAAACACTAGTATCAAAGGCTGGGTAGGGAACATTCCTCCAACAGAAGTACATAACCATCCAACAGAATAGAGCCCTCTTTACTTTGAGCTCACGAATATCTGTATGGTTTTCATGGGTCTTACTTCTTGAACTTTTAAATCACCAGACTTTTTGTAAGGTTCTGATTTATTGAAACTTCTGAGTAATGAAGCAAATAATACGAAATAATCTCAAAAGGAACATCAAAGAGCATTTAACTATCATAATACCAGACTCTGAATAAGAAGTACATGTACTACTTATTGTGCTGTGTATGTTACATGTAAAGGTCTAACAAATACACAGTTATACAAATGGTGACCATTAAATAGCCACATCACATTACAGTTGGTGGAAAACCAATATATTTTTTACAACAATGAAACAATGAGATACCACTTGTGGTTTTTGCACTCCTTACATACTTTAATAAACAACAAATCTATACAATGACATGTACAATAAGAATCTACCAAACCTCACCGATACATTTCCTCTGCCATTTACTTCTGTAAGGCCGAAGATCCAAGCTGCTAAGTTTTTCTTCTTTTTTTCTTAATGCCTTTAAAGACTTGGCTCTTTGAGCTTCTGCTTTGGCATATTCCCCAAGATCTTCTTTATAACGGCCAAACATCTAGAAAAGTAAGCAATTTGTAATAGTGTTACATGAAGTATCATTTGATATTCAAACAAACAACCAATAGTACACTTCTTAACAAATTACAGTAATGATAACATAATGCTGAGCATAGAGATTTTGGTGAAAAGTTTTTTATAGATTGTGGCTCTCTATGACCATGGAAAACAAAAGATTTTGGGATACCACATTTGCACTGTTCATTTTTTTGCTATGTAACAGGAATTTACTTATAATCTTTATGCAAAAAAGTGAGCAACTTAATTTTGTATTATTAATATCATAGTTTAAGCACTCAATTAAAAGACTAATGCCAGGAATCCTGCTTCAGTGCCAAGCAGGTCCCTGAAATGAGCTTATTCATATATACAACACAAGTATTTTGTTAGAATGCTAGGTTTCACCCATGGGTAAACCTCGTTAGTTTAGTGGACATTCTCTGTTTGCTAAGCAGCTAAACAAGAAAATTCAGCATTTGGTCCTGTAGCAAGCATGTAAAAAAATTACATACTGTGAATATTCATGGCACATATAGAAACTGTTTTATGTTGCTGCATGCCTGCCATATCCTTTTTTTTTCTTCGTAATTATTATATTTATAAAAACTTTTTTAACAGAATATGCTTTTCCTTCTTCCTGAAAGACAGAAACATATAATCCTTGCATATTTTGCTTGTTTTTCTTCATAATACTATTTTATTAGTTTTTTAAGTACTGGTATAAGCCTAATAACTGATACCAAATATGTTTACCAGAGTTCCAACAAACAGATTGCAAGGTCTTCAATTTTACCTATCTATTTATTGCACAAATAAAGAATGTTTAGTCTACTGTACTTATTTTCTATATTCTTTACTACCTTTTAATTTCATACTAAATAATCCATTATTTGATAAAGAAAGTTCTATTTATGTTTCTTTTTATTGTAGAAACGTGTAGTTGCAAAATCGGAATATATTTTAGAATGTCCAAAGTATTAAATGTGTAGAAATCAAGGAAAAATAGGTGTAATCTACAGCAGATTTAACTGACTGACAGGACACGTTGCTCACAGCATACTATTATTAAAAGTTCATTAGTAACACAATGAGAAACCTGTTTTACATCAACTTTAGATGTTACAACTTACAGTATTATTAATTATTCTTGTGAAAAATGCTCTAAATACTTTTTACAAATGAACATTTCTTGTGAATATGTTCAACTAACATTTTATTACGAAGACAAGTTTCTGTATTCATTCATGAACCTTATCTTTAAAGTTTACTGTTTTTCACTTTTTGTATGAAGTATTTTTACGGATTTAAAAATGTTTGGTAATTAATAAAATAAGGAAAAAGGAGATCTTAAAATTATCATCCTCAACAATTAGTGAATTACTTATGCTATTAAGTACAACTTAACAAATGTACATATATTAATTGTTTCGCTAATACTAGTAGTAGTATCCTATTACTTTGTTACTATTAGTGTTACTACTAATACTTGTAATTTCTCGCACACGTGGGCATGTTACTTTTAGGCCTATGTTATAAAGTTAAACAGTAAAGAAATGGAATAACTTACCAATGTGTGCTCATAACCAAGGGTATTTTTCTCTTTTCCACTTTCTTCCGTCATGTTTGAAAACTTCGTAGCCCTTTACAAAAAATAAACTATTTCCTCTTGACAATATTTTGAGTTTGCGCTTATGCTACCTGCACATAGATGTAATCATATATACTATGATAACAGTACAGAGCTTATAATCACAGTACGTCTCGTTATATTTGGTTACAAAACAGCTAATTCATCAATCTACGTCCACAAAATGTTGATGACCATATGATAGCTTTACGTCACACAGACTTCAAGCACGTGGTCTAGCAAAGAAGGAGGTTTTTTCATGATGTATCAGGTCGGTCTTTCTCTTCGTGAATCAGATTAACACTGTAAAATATAAGCTTAAAGTCCTTACGTAAAGATATGTTTCTGGTTTCTAGAACATATAACTGTAAAGCGTACACTGTAATATAATCGAAAACAACAAGAAAAGAAAATAATACTGCCAACCAAACAATTCACTATTGAAACAATAAATTTTACTGTAAGCTTATCTTATTGACACGGTCAAATTTTACTGTAGCAAATTGTGTAATACGACACTTTGTATTCATTTCGTTTCTTTTCCTGGCCACTAGGTGGCTCGTCTGTAAGTCTGAGGGATTTATAACGCTAAAAATCGGGTATTGATATCCATGGTCGCCAGAACACACTTTCCGCTTAACAGCAAGCAAACACATTCTTTTTCCAGTAAATTTAAGCTCGATCATAGAATTTCTAAAGCTATAAACAAATAGTGTTATTATTAATAACGACAATAAAACCAAGAAACAGAATATTAGGCTCACTGAAATAAAATATAAAAACTTACAAACACTTAAAACTGCAATAACCTCATCTTCCAGTGTTTATTTCATTTTTGGTATGGTATAAATATTGTGGTATTGGTACCTTATGCGACATATAAGCTGAGAAACGATCATGTCATATCTAGGTTCATACCTAGCCATCACTAATTTAAAACTGCTGACCAGAGGGAATGCACTCCTCGCCTTATCTGAATACCGAGATTGACTATTACAGTCAATAACGCCTCGAAATTGAGTTGTTTGTTTGTTTTCGAATTTCGAGTAAAGCTATACGTCCTTAATTTAGCAGTGAAAGACAAGAAGGCAGCTAGTCACCACAACGTTTGGGTTACATTATAATGCCCCCACGGCTGAAAGGGTGAGCATGTTTGGTGGGAAGGACATTCGAACCCGGGACCCTTAGACTACCAGTCAAGCGCCCTAACCACCTGGCTATGCCAGGCTCTCGAAATTAAGAGTACGGAACGTGTTTGGCGGCATATTGTGGCTCGAGCTTTTGATCCTCCATTCTGTAGTCCAACATGTTAACTATTAAGCCACACCTTAAATTTTGTGTCAATATAAATAAATTTGCTTTCTCTGAACATTATTAATGTCAGATTTTAATTCCTATTAATTTTACTCCTCTTAATTTTGTCTGCAGTTCCATTCCCTTTTTTCGAATCTGTTACAATCAATGACGTATTGCTGGTAAAACTATCAATAAATAGAGTTTACAGATATCACAAACAGACAATTCTTTATCAAATACATTATACGGACACCTAATAATAAACATGAAAGAGAACTCCATGTTTTAAAAACACCTACTGAAGGACAACTGCTTCAAATAATCTGGAGCTCGCAACAACAATCTGAAATTGTTTTCGTGATTTTGAATTTAAAAAAAAAAATGTTCTATAGCAGCAATTTTTATAATAGAGCATCTATCAGGTGCATGATATCTTCCTTGTCGTTTGTTTTCTAGTTTTGAATTCAAAATGCAATAATTTTTTAATTGTCTCTGTAATTCATATATATGTGTGTTTTCATGAAATAAGTTAGTTTTGAATATACTGAATGACCAGGTAATATTATTTCATGAACGAGAATCCTGGATTTATGAAGAATGATGCAGTCCATCTTTTATATAATGGACCAGTTAATTCTATAAATCAACCGCATTTTTGCTATTTTCGTCACGCTTAATAATCTATATGATCACCAAAGTCTATTTACTACCTAGATACTAACATCTGCTGACATGCTGTCCTCCTCGGGCAAGTCATCAGAAGGACTAGTCTTGTGTTGATCTTGGGTCTTCTTCACAGAAAGTTTGGTATGTTAGCCACTCAACAGGGATCTTTCCCGTTAGAACTTGAGTCAACTAATAACATTAATGTTTCCAACAGATGGATCAAGGTTTTGCTGTCTTTGCCAAGTTATCTGAGTGTGCTACCAGTTAATTAAGTATACAAGGCTACTTTCATCTTTCTTTTTCTCGTGTGTGATTCATTTAATACTATAATATTATTTCGTTTTATGGTATAGTCTTCTTAGCTGGCTTGATGGGCTATTGTACATCTAACATGCTCCTGAATTCTAGCATTTGTTGGTCTTTATAGTTTCATCGTTGTATTGGAATTCACATTCACAGTGAATATTGTAAATGGTGTTTTTTTCCCTCTATTATGGGGCTTAGATGGTTTGGTGTGTATTACCTGCAATCATATTGTGTTGGGGCTTCTGAAGATACTTTATATATATATATATATATATTCTCTTCATATTTTCAGAGAGGCCTTTCATATGGTAGTATGGCTTTACATTTCTTCCTTTTCATTCTTAGTGTTTATATTCTTTATCAAATGTTCTGGGTAACCACTTTAAGAGGTGTTATAGTGACTTCTTTCTCTTCCTTTCTTTTAGCATCTTACAAAATGCAAATATTGTATTTTCTAGGAACTTAGCAGCCTAAGATGCCGGGCTTTACACTGTTAGGGTGATTTGATTCACAGTCGAGGTATTCATCGCTTGTGGATTTCCTGTACCCTCCTGTTGAATACGAGTTATATGTCTCAGTAATCATCACGTCGAGGAATGGGAGATAGTTATGTTGCAGGATATTTTAAATTCGGGGGGTTCATGAATTCTTGAATCTTATTTGAGTGTGTGTCCATATACGAATGTGTCGTTAAACTATTTGAGCTAAAATATTCAATTAGTTGATTCAAATTTTATTTAATGCAGAACACCTGGTTACCCGACTTTCTATCAAAGAGAGGTAGGATCGAATTCCAGCAATTTCAACATAGAGCAAATATTTCTCAGGATTTCCCTAAAGACGGCAGCAGATTAGCAGCCGAAAAGTAGGATAAAAACCAATTAGTAACAAGTATATACTTAAAAAATAGTTACTAATAATAATTAGATTTAAGGGATTGTATCCGCTAATAATCACGACAACGATTGGTACCCAATCGCCACAGTCTTACCGAAGTACTCATTTATTTTTAAACTAGAACAAAACAGTAAAATCTCTGGATTTTGAAAAATATCGTACTTCAAACTGAAACATAAACCTAGGTAATCATAACAAATAGGCCCGGCATGGCCAGGTGGTTAAGGCACTCGACTCGCAATCTGAGGGTCGCGGGTTCGAATCCCCGTCTCACCAAACATGCTTG